TAATTGATGAATAATTTTATTTTACTTTTAGTAAACAATCTATTCATACACATATTATCTAATGTGCACTATTGTCTGCTGATGTTTCAGCAGGATATAACATACAATTTCCTTAAGTACAGTTTGAAATAAATCGCAATTCCCATGACTGGTTAAAATCAGATTTTAGAAAGTAGCTGAGATGAAAAAACTGCACTTGATGGAAAAATTCTGAATACATATCTGAATTCAGCATGAAAAAGTGCACTAGATTCACATATAAGACTTCTTGTAAAGAAAACCTTGTCGACCAGTGTATTAGGATGCAACCATTAGAACATCATAACTACTTGGTGAGTGATGTAATATTTATTATTCTATGTATCTTTTGATGAGAACAATCCACAAATTAACATCACAATTACAGTTTAAAATGAATAATGACTAGTATAAAATAATATTTGTAAAACTTGTCAATTTATACTATGTTCCTTTTCTAATTCTTTAAGTTCTGCCAGCAAAAATGCTTTCATGCTTGGGTCTGTAACTTTCTGTATTATAACATTTTTAGCAATGTCTCCACCATTTTTACATTTTTTTAAAAGTTCTTCAGCATATTCAATCCAAACACATGAATCACAACCTGAATTACAACATGTTGTTGGTGGTTCTGGCACTTCTACATCATTACTATCTAAATTATTCTTTTCAGAACATACATTTCTTGCAATCTCTAAGCTTTGCCAGTTAAAGGAGAACCTCAGGATTTTTCTAATTTCTAAACAGCGTACATTTGCCTGAAATGTAAAAGCACCTGCTAAATAAATAAAAACAAAAACTTAACATTAAAATATATATTTTTACAATCCTTGAAAATAATCATTGTAATTGCACATCTTAATGCATTTTTTAAATATTTTATCTGCACAAGTTATATGTAGGTATGATGAGTTACATAAATTGTTATTTTCCATGAAATATTTAATTTTCTTTTCTGAAGAAGAAAAAGACTTCATATCACTTTTGGCCATTATTTATTTACCAACCTTCTTTGCCATCCTCTTTACTAAATGAAGATTGAGATAATGTTTTATTAACTCAATGCACGCTCCAGTCATTGGGTAAGAAAAGAAACATGGTGCAGAGAGGTACTATGCAAATTTTATGCAATGTTCTTGCATTACATGATGCCATCTACCAAGAAAAGGGATGAAGTAAGTTATTAACTGGTGAGGTAGGCAGCATCACAAACTGAATATTTCTTTATTAGTTTACATTTATTTATTTTTCCCATAAAAACAGAATAAATTATTTTTCTTTTCTTCCTTTGAGAAATACTTGCAAATGAATTGTAGATACATTTTACATTCAAAACTAGTACTTGTGTGTATAACTAGTGATAATATACATAAATGATCATTAAAATACACGGGAGATAATATGAGATTATAAACAAAAAGTCACACGGTGGAGCACACTGTTCAATGTTGTTCACAGCCCGTTGGTCTTCACCTAGTTATTGTGACTAGAAATTTGAACAGTCAATCAATTATTAATCAGTCATTAATTTTAAAAATCTATTACCAAGGAAGAGAAAGAAAGCAGTGCAAACCCTTCCAAAGTTCAGTCTTGTGTAATATCAAATGAAGGAACAGACTTAATGAATAATCGCTTTTGATAAAAACAGCCAATCTTCTGAAGAAAGTGGTGAAGTGACTTAGTCTGATTTAAAGGATAAACACTTGTTTGTTACTTAGGGAAAATTTTAAATAAGGAGTAAGGCAATTTCAATTTTCACAAGGATGATAAGTCATAATACAGGCATTTGGATTACATTCAAACACAACTTAACAAGCAATAACAAATATGCAGCCAGTCACTTCTACTTTTTATTTTTTCTGTTGTATTGTATTGACATTTCTAAAAACAACTATTGTTCTAAAAAAAATGAATTTGATCTGTTTTAAAGGAAAAACATGTGTTTTGGGGGAAAATTTTAAATAAGCACAGGATGGTGCACTGGAAATAATTTTTCTACGAGTATCTCAAAATACAGAATCTGCTTTTACTTTCCTTAAGCAGCAAACATATGCAATAGTTGCAGAGACATTAAATATTTACCTACATTCACAAACAAGAGACCTACAAGAACACTGAATTTCGGATTACATTCTTTAAAACTAGAGAAAAAAAATGCAGCCAGTCACAATGTACCATTTTTATTTTTCCTGTTGTCACTGCTGATGACTATTCACGGGCACAACCAAGCAATCAGGGCTGGCCTACTATACACCACTATACACCGCCTTACTCAGGTGTCCCAAATACTATCAAATACTATGGAGCTAATACAGGACACTTCGCGATATATCGAGAAACACTGATGGCAGCTCTATCTAGTGGCAGAACCTGGTGAAAACTCATACAGTTTAAACTCAGTGCTCTGTCAGTGTTTGTATTCTTCTCGATTTTTTAAAATTTGATTGTCTTTCTAGCCAATTTCTGGAAAACATATTTCACAATACTGTTCTTGGCATCCTTTCTTATGGCAGGAAAAATGTGTGCAGTTTTTGGCTGTTTTAATTATGAAATTCAAAAGAACTCGCGTTCGTTCTTCACGTAAAACTAGTTTATCAAATGTAGATGAAAAGCATAAATTAAGAAACTCGCATATTCTGACTAAGCAGTATGTGAATGCCACTCTTTTCTACCAAAATGAATTAGCTATTAGTTTGTTAGATTAAGTATGTTTTCGATAGAGACTTTTTAACTTTTTTACGTCACAGTAAACTTGAGGTCAAAAAACAATTAATGTAAATCATTAATATTCAATTGGAAAATATTGCATGTGAGGAGTGAGTGTACTAATTTGAATTTAAGCGGAGGTATAATGTATTGATAAAGTGCTTTTTAAAGAAAGCAAATGAAAAAATATCAAATGTATTGGAAGAATGTATTGGTGTTGCACTGGAAGTGTTAGGCAAGAAAAATGTTGCGTTTGAAACCATTTTATTCTTGGAATATATAAAACATCTCTCTTGTACATTATTATTTTCCGTAATTTAAACCATTCAACATAATTAAGTCTATTTCTTCCGTAAAATTCATATTGATGTCTTTATTTGGCGCTGAAGTAGTAGGTTCTGACATTAGGGGCGCTAGTAGGAACTTGTTTCCATCGGTTGCGTGGAAGAACGGGGCATAGAGTATTTTACAAACGGGCAAGTGTCCTGTATTGTCTCTATAGTATTTGGGTGTCCTGAGGCTGCCGTTTAACGTTTAAGAAGTACCCCCCTCTGGTTCCCACAGAGTGCAGTGTTGTCGATTTATATTCTGTACCTTATTGTAGATGGTGCCACACGAGTTTTCCCATAGATCTTACGAAGACGCTAGATGTATATACCACGAGCGCCACTGTTCCACTCCCAAATTGAAGAGGTCCGACGCCGCCATTAGGATGGCAAAAGCGATCAGCTGTTAACTGCTAATTAGCGTGAGTGTGGTTTTTCAAGCTGTTTTAGGATACGTATGCAGTGTGATGTTAATTTTAATTCATTCTCAGCAATTTTGAAAAGGTAAATCTGTTGCACATTGATAAGTTACTGCACGACCATGTTTTTATGGATAAATAACGGCGTTAAACTTAACTGCCAGTGCGTTACCTCTTAAAAAACTTGTGAGCATTATCATAGTAATTTATTGATTTAAATTGGTATATATTATATTACAGTTATAATGGTAGTTTCCTGTTGTGCGTATAATTGCACAAATAGAGCTGGTAAAATGTAAATGGGAGTAAAATTACGTTTCACAGGTATGCTCAAGTGATTAGTAAATGGTTGTGATCGTCATAAACGATTTATTTGCATTATATGACGTTCTCCTAAACATACAGATTTCCCATTTCTAATGAAGAATTGTGCTTGAAGTGGGTAATAGCAGTGAGGAGGGAGAATTCCAAAAATGTGATATAGAGTATTACATTAATCAGCTTTTTATTTCCTCCATATTTTCAAGTGTTAATAGCAAGTCTGAAGTTGACTTTGAATGCATCCTCTTTTATTACAAAATCGGGACTAAATTTTATTTATTCTGCTCTAGATTCAAAATTGCCCATGTGATAACAATTTTACACAACTGTACAAATCATGCTCTTATTCTTTGTTTGTAATTGAAGCAAATTTTGTGAATTAAAACCTGTAATTTTTGTAAATTAATCCATACTCTTCCAAATATAGAGAAATAAAGAATATTAAAAAAAATCCCTAGTTTTAATAAATAAAAAAAAAACTTTGTCAATCCAATGCAGAAAGTGTTTCTAATAGAGAACTTGATGGTTGAACTAGTGATTGTGAGGTGATTTAGATTTATTCAGTCAAATAAAAAAAAAAAAGTTAAAACTGTGACGTAGGGGGAAAATATTATCTGCGCACGTTTTCTTAAGTTCCAGAATCCCTTCCCGTCATTTTAACTATAAATAGTTGAAGCACGAGTAAAAGTTAAACATAAATAAATAAATTTTAAAAATCGCAAGAATTGCAATATATGTTAAATAGTCATTTTCGCTTTTGAGTTATAGAAAACTTATTAGTTCTTGAAATATACTCCAGGAATATATTTTATTACATTAATACAGTATTCTTTAAGTCCTTTTCGGAATTTTTTTTCAAAAATGCTTTCAATAGAATAAATAAATTAGAAGTGCAAATTTTCTCCGTAGATGAGAGGCAATATTTGAATTCCCGCGTTCTTGCCCTTCTAATGGCGGATTTCTAGAGCTTCAATTTGGGAGTACGTTTCGCTGCCGGCCGCTACGGGGTGATAGGGCCCTGAGTTTCCCCTACTATTCTATGCTCCTCCATGATAATGTGAAAACAAAGAACTAGTAAAGTTAGAAGCTCTTGAGTGAAAACGAGCCGTTATGGTTTGTATATACTCTGGTTTATTCGAGAGTAAAAATCTACATTTGCTCCTCTTGGCCTTGCTGTGGCCTTGGTCCAACAGGTGTAAGCACAATCAGTTATACTGTGGCATAGTGTAGCAGGGCTGTGAAACTCTATGAAAACCTAGGACAAAGTTGCAGAATGCTACTATAGAGGACGCTAGTTTCGCCGGGTGCAGCTGCAGCTTAGACTCGCCAACTTTCCCACATAAAAATTGGCTAATTTGTGAGAAATACGAAAAGTGTCTTCTAAATATTCATATTCATAACCTATACTTATAAGAAAGCGCGAACCTCTACGCTATCTTTTGTAACATTATGGTCTTAGTTGCCACCCGCGAACTCACGGGGCAGCCACGCACGTTTAAAGTATCGTTGGCAGCATTCCGGGTTTTAGTTCCTATAAGAAAGTGTTTCAGTAGAGTGCGCATTCACAGTTGTTTCCACCACGTTATGTGGGAGTAATAGATATACCCAGGATATACCAGTGCCCTGGTGTAAGAGCTGTGTAAGAGTCGGTCTTGTGTTCCGGAAAGAGGCTTGTTTGCGTGCCATTACGTGTATTCGTTTTATTTTATATTATAAACTTATTTCTTGTACTTATATTGTTGTCACCATTTAACGAAGTGCTCCAAAACATGGGTCGAAAAATTCAAGGAAAAAAGCATAGAGGAATCAAAGATCCTCGTCAACAGGCTCTTGCAAGATTTGAGAGGTAAGATGAAAATAGGACTGAGTACAATGTTTGGCATATTTCGTATATTGTGCACCTTTGGTATATTCCGAAAGTACAGTAAAATTGACCTTTTGTTAGAACTATACACGAGAAAAGTTGAAAGTGAAGTAGAGAACACTACAGATGGATTGAGTCTGTTTGAGAATGTCTTAAAACATGCTATGGACTACCTGCTGGATTAAAATACTAGATGTCAATAGTAGTGTATGAATTATGAATTAATGCAGATTTAGAATTCTCAAAAGAAGTTGTAATTCCAAGTCATTTGAAGATTTGTTATGCTCTTCCATTTTTTATTATATTCACATATTTTTGACACCCATTTGTGATAATATTTAAGAGTCCAATACAAAACAAAGATATTCATAGAGGTTGGCTCTGTTTTGGCCTTAAATTTGGGGAGGTGGGGAACTGCTAGAGGATGCAGGATGTTATGAACTGAAGAGAGAAGTGAATGAAACTGTAAGGTTGCGTTGTAACTAATGTGAATTAACATGTTGATGTACATTTTCTCTTCATTTGCCAGAGCAGTATTTTTTCCCATTCAAAAGTCATGGGATTCATGTGGGACATTTGTTGTGAAAATGGTCAACAAAATATTGAAGGGTCTGATCTCATGAAAAAATTATATTTTCTGATTTAGCACAATATAAAAACAAGAAAAAAATTTTTGGAAACATTTATTTAAAAATAATTCAATTTTGAATGATTAATAAATTTTCCTGTAATGTTACATTAAACAATTCTAAACTATGACTATACATTAAGTGTCGTCTAATATTTTTTACACTATCTACTGATGTCAAGTAACAGAAAAATTGCCCAACAAAAATTTTTCAAGGTCATTGCAAGGCCCTAGGGGGTCATAAATGGGACAAAATATTTAAAAAACTATTGTAAAAATATCTATCTATTTTTTTTTCCTTTTTTCTTTTCTTTTCTTCTTTCTTTCAAAAGTCAAAATACTTCGAGATACTTGTACTTTATTTCTACAAAATTTCGTCCTTGGTTATTGAAAGGATTCAGAACTAAGAGCATTTTATTGCAAAATTTGTGATGGAAATTTTTTATCTGACAAATATATTTATAGGGAAAACGGAAAATGTCCATTTCAATTTTTTGCTAATTTTTGAACATTCAGCTTTTACCTGAATTTCACGTGAAGGAAAACCTTCAATTTTGTAATAATAGGAATAAGCAGGGAAAATGTTATCTTTTGAAATTCTTGGAAATGCTGTTTGTGCGTCAATTCATACTCTTAAGAAAAAAAATTGCTAAAGAGATTTAGTTATAAAGTGTTCCTCTGTAAAATCTAAATTTGGTTTTAATCTTATTTCAGCATTGTTAATAAAATTGATAATCCACCATCATGCATTGATGATCAGGAAATACCAAAGAGAGTGTTGGAAATAATGCAATATAAAAACAAACCAAAACAAGCGAAGCAGAAGATAAGAAAGAAGAAAAGTAAAGGACAATCGCTTTGTATTTTGAATTTTATCCCAAAAGATGTTATGGGAACTGAAATGGCTACACTAATAACCCCTACTGGAGAATGTGATACTGAATTGTTCTTCAGACTCAATAATTCATGCCAGGTATGATACTAATGAGGGGAGTTGAAGCTGTTTTGATTTCATTTTAGTAAGTCATATTATTTAATTTTGTTAACAATTATTTTTAGGAAACAATTAATGAAGCTCATTTAGCAGCTAAATTCAATGTGCAACTGCAGAGAGATCCAAAAACAGGGGCTGTTAAGAATGTGCAACCTGTAAAGAAAACAGAGACAGATGCTATAATTAAGGAAGCAAAAGGCAAAAACAAGAAAAAGCTTTCAAAACCAGAAAAGAGGCGGCTGAAATTAATCGCCAAAGCACAATTGAAAAAAGAAAGTGAAACTTGCAGAGACTTCTCAGATATTAAGGATAAAGTGAAATTTGGAGAAGTTGTTCATCGACCTCCAGAATTAACAGTTTTACCCAAGAGAAAAGTAAAAACTAGCTCTTCAGTAGATAGCGTAAGTCCCTTTGCTTGGGCAACAATATTCATATTGTGTTTTACACATTGTTGACTGTTCAATAGAACTTATTCAGTTTATGTAGCTGAAAAAGTTATTCTGTAATATTTAAGATAAAAATGCATTTCTTTTCATTATTAAGTCCGTTTTGTTGAACACTTTAACCTAATTATGAACAGTGTTAACTTCCCTTTGATATTGTCTCAATAGCATAAAAGATTGTAAAAAGTTTTCTATTAAATGGATGCTTCAGAAACAGCAACTCTCTTCCATCTTTGATAAATATTGATTCCAGAAGAATACAATTTCTGTACCCAGAAATATTTCAAAAATGTCCTTTACTATAAATAATAATAGAGGTGGGTGAATACAAAATTGTTATGGGCACCTTGGTTGCAAAGTCAAGTGGAAAAAATAATGTTCTTATTAGAATTTTTAAAAGAAAATAATATTTTATGTAAATTAAATAATTTTTTAAGTACAGTTGCACAACCATGGGGTTACCCATAGTTCAGCCCCCCTCCCAAACCAATGCTACATATTCAAAATATAGCTTTTACTAATTTATTATAGTAAAGAAAGTGCTTCAGTATGTTCATTATTAACATTATAAATACTATCTGTTTACAAATTAAATTAATTTTATATTCAGTATAAAGGAAAAATTCTTTGTAAGAAAACACAAAGTTGGTTGCACTCTAAGCCTATAGGCCCCTCCCAAGAAAAATCTTGGGTGCACCTCTGTTCGCATGTTACATATTATAAGATTTGGGTAAAAAGTTACAATTCTATGAATTTTGGAAACATTATTTCAGATAATTAATATTAAAAGTAATCTGTTAAACAAATTCTTTTCAATTACAATTTAATCATTTTCATTAATACAAAATTATGGCAAATGCTTGTGATCACTCACTTGATTTTTAGAAAAATAAAGTGTTAAATTATTAGGTAAACGTAAATTGCCTGGTACATCTTAGAAGAATTGTAGCTTTTGGATACTCTTTTTGTTAGTTTTCCATGGCCCCTCTGATTAATAAGGGGCGAAAGCTGGAGTGCCTAACAATCACGTCATGGACAGCCCATGATTTTTCCTTCCTCTCTTGTCCTATCATCTTCCCTTATGTATATACACTTACACATACATTCATTTCTCTAACAGTCATGTCAAGACACCAGTCTGAAGCGTAGTGCGTGTCCCGCCCAGTCTGGTACCCAGTTGTGGAGAAATACCAGAAGGGGGAAGTCCCTACATGTCACTGCAAGTTGACATGTAGGATCGTCGTGGTTCTTGGCATCCAATGAGAGATGAACACCCATCAACTCGTGGCATAAAAATCACTCGCTGCACTACAGAACTAATGAATATAGCAGTTGTTCTGCCCAGAAACATTAATCAAGGGGCGAATGCTGGAATATGGCACTTTATATGTTGTCCTCATAGTTTTTTTTATGCCATGTATCATTACCAGCAAAGGTGTTTTATTATTGTGCATTTTTAAGTTGTGGCAATGTTCGGATCTTTGGTCATTGCAGTTAACACGAAACATTCTTGAGGCTTTGCTTGGCATATTTTAGTAAATGAACACTAATTTAAAATTGCTATAACATTTCACAATGAATTCTTACAGGACATGGTAAAATTGCTGTGACGTTACTCTTATTGATAGCTTTCTTGAAAACTTATCCTTTCCTCTGCCTGATTATCCTTCGTCTGAGCAGCACAAATCACTATTTCAAACCATTTCGTGTCATTGCCAGACTTTTTCACACAAACAGTTAAACGTTTAATAACTCTCAAAGGAAACGAGTTTTGCCTTGATGGTTGCTAATCATTAGGTTTGCAGTGTAGTGAGCAATTCAAAACTTTTCTCTTCCTAGAACCATTACACCTTCTCTGATAGCCTTCATTCTCTACCCTTTAACTTGCTGAAAATGCTATAAAAATAACTGTCAAGACTTTTAGAATACTTCAGCAATTTTTAGAATTTTGATTCTGGGATGAAATATATTCTCTTGAAAGTTTTATTGTTTGTGTTCACCAAAACTAATGTTCAGAGTACACCATAATTGAAACATGTAATGTTCATTTCTAATATATGTGAATGGGGACCAGTGTACTAAAGTCTATTATATTGTAGTTGACTGTACAATTGTGCATGTTTTCTTTAGTACCTTTATCCTTACAGTCCCTCTTTTACTACATTTAATTGAATATTGTATGCAGGTAGTAACTAGCATTTGTAGCACCATTTCACGAAGGAGACTATTTTCAATCTCTTTGTAAGTTTTGTTAAGGCAACAGAGATAATATTGTATATTTTTAAAGAAAGCTTGAAGAAAGTTTTGTAAATATAATTTTTTATTGTTGCTGAATAATAATTTTGTTGGTTGCATTTTAAACAGGAAATATGTAATCCTCTTTCAAAATTATGTTCATTTTGTATATACCCTTAGTTATTTTATTTCTGATATGAAGTTCATTTGTTCTAGGTTATGGTTTAGTTGATTTCTTACTTTTACTTGAAGATATCAGATGTTTTAGATTTGGAAAGGAAAGTTTTTATACCAATATATTGTTGTTTTTGTTACAGCCTGGTCAAAGAGACTTGCTTTTAAAGGCAATGTTGGACGAAAAGAAGAAGCCAATAGCAGACATTAAAAAAACTAAGAGAGCAACAGAAGACTCTGAAGGTAGAAAACAAATGCTAGAAGAAGAGCGACTTAGGGTAGTGGAATTGTATCGTAGTTTGAAACACCGAAAAGCAATACCATTGTAATATTGATATTTGTGATAATACACGTTATGTTTTTACATGTTCTTTATTTATTTGTGTGAACACCTCTATCTATTCCATTGATGTAAAATTTAGGAAGCTCTGACTCGTGTGAAATAGTATATTTTGCAGGGAAATCTTATCATTATATATATATATATATATATATATTTGAGAATGTTTCTGCTAATTACTAGGTCAAAAGAAAATCCTCAAGTGAGGCTGAGAGGATGACGCAGATATAAGCTGTCCCTCACAAATGCATTTTTTACATCTTATAAGTTCATGCATCTTATCAAAAAAACTTAAAGAAGAATGGTTGGATTCAAATCTGGAGTGATTTCCTTTAATTACTTTTTCTTACAAGAATTTCATTGCACAATTAAAATATAATTCTTAATAAGTAATCCAACATGATTAAAAGAAATTTGGTTATTCATTCTGTGAATTATCTAGTTATAAATTCCTTATTTTTCCTATTAGCATTTGCACATTACTTATGGTACTCATGAACATGCTCATATCTTTTGGGCTGAAAAAGCTCACTTTTCTACAGTTAAAAATTTTAAAAAAGTGATGGATTTTGGGTAAGCACTTCAACACACGTTCTAGATCCAACTCAATCGCAACTTTGTAAGTTGGTAACACTGGCTTCCACTATTGATTATCTTCCAGGAAAGTATGGTAAGAAAGGCTCTCAAAGAATTAAATACTATTTTCTTATAACCTTTCATGTTTCATTACAGTAGAAGAAATGAAACAGAAATGGTACAAGCAGCTGGTTATCAGTGGCCGCGGTATATTGTTACACACACACACATCAATGAATACCCCACACTTTGATTTCCTTCAGGATCGAAACTCGGGAACAGGGCATGTTTACAAAGTCGCCAATTTTGCATTTATTTATATATTTTTATAAATACGAAGAACCCTTTACTAATATGTACATAATGATATACATACAAGACAAAATATCAAAAATTAATAGCCATAAAAAGGATGTGTTGTTAAAAAAGAAAATTGGAATTAAGAGTGTTTACAAAGAACAATTATGTTGTATTTGAAGTCGATTAAAAAAGAAGTTTAACACCATCACAGAAATGTTTAAAGTCATGATTGAAAAAATCATCAGCAGTGTAATTGGCGGTTCTATGTAGTCTTTTGAAGATATCGTAATAGCTGTAGTTAGTAAAAGATGCATCCACTCAGAAGCAGGTAAGATTTCTCATTCTAATCTGAAGGTTGTTAAGAGAGAGAAGACAAAGAAAATCATGACAATCGATGATACCATGTATTTTATGAAAGAAAATTAAATCATAGAACTTTTTCCTATCCTGAAGAGTTTTTAATTCAAATAAATTTTAGGATTTGGAAAAGTTTTATCAAATTTATGAATTGGTGCTCCATTTCTGAATGCTAGATGCCGTAGAAACTTACATTGTACTTTTTCCAAATGATTGATAGATAAATTAGTGTAAGGTGACCAAATGACAGAGGAGTATTCTAACACAGAACGAATGACAAGTTTTATAAAGAATTAATTGATTGACAGGAAGGATTTGGTGTTCGCATAATCAGATCAAAGGAATGCAGAGCTTTATTAACTGTAACAGTAATATGAGTATTAAAATCGAATTTACAGTCAAAAATCACTCCAAGATCCCTGATATTGGAAACATTGCTTAGGGATTCACAGATGAAATAATATGGGCAGCTCACGACATTGTCTCTGGGCAAAGGTGACTGTACAACACTTAGTGTGGAGTTCCCTTTGGTTTGTAGAACACCACTGGGAGAAGGCAGAAAGATCCTCCTGTAAGCAGTAGAATTCATTAAATTGAGTAATCTGGGCATACATTTTTCCATCATCTGCAACCAATAATATTTTACTACATTTGAAAACAATGGCAAATCATTAATGAAAATAATAGCCACCATGTCAGTGACACGGCTCGTCCCGGATAGCCTAGACAACACAAACGCCGGCCGCGGAAGCCTTAGCAACCATGTTGATACTTGCACAAAAACTCTACTCCCATATAAACGTATCCCAGTAAATGTTATGCGTCGGGTTTCTTTTAAAAAAAATCATAAGGTGTTTTCTTTTCAATATTATTAGCTAAAGTTTTTATTTGTAAGGTATGCAGCCGCACATATCACTTCTGGGCAAAATCTTCTATCTACTTTTGCTTCAGTTAATAAACATCGCGACATGCCCGTAATTGATCTGCTATATCTTTCAGCCGTACCGTTCAATTCATGTACGTAAGGTGGACAAGCTTTCAAAAAAAATTCCTTTTTCTTTAATCAAATTATTTATTCTTTTCCATTATCACATTTAATTATTTAATAGTTTTACCGGTCAAATTATCGGCTTCATTTATGTATTGTATAAAACAGTCATAAACTTGATCTTTTGATTTATTGGTATAAACTTGACCTATTTTACTGTAATCATCAATAAACGAAAGAAAATATATTTTCCCATTAAAACCTGCTATTGCATGAGGCCCAGTGCGAACAATTTCTAAAATTTCTTTGGCGCCGCTGCTATTGCTATCAAAAGATAAATTATGCATTTTATTATTAATACATGTCTTGCGTTTCATACATTCTGATTCTAATTTTTGAGGTATGCCATCTAGTAGTTGATCTTTCCACAATGTTTGCAAATAGTTAAAATTTACATGCTCTAATACACGATGCTACTTTTCTTTTGATGTAATTCCACCTTTATTGTCACTCACGATATTTCCATTAGCTTTTTTAACATTGATTGAACTAGTCATTTTATACAATCTTCCTTTTTTTTCGAGCAATCGCAATTAACTCGTGATTTTGATTTAAAATTTTGGAATTATTACCTACTGATTCAATTTTGTGATTATTTGTGACTCTTGCATAACTAATCAAATTTCTATCCATTTTCTCAGCATAAAATACATTACGCATTTCAATTGGAATTTTGTTTATCATAAATAGAAAAATAGCTAATTACATGGCCGACTTAAGTAGCTTTTAAAAATTTACCGTTTCCCATTTTAACATCGTCAGTTTTTTTTTAATTACACAGTCAGAAAAATATTCGTCGTTATTAATTACATGATCTGCACAACCACTATCAAGTAACTAATCAATTTGTGATTCAATTTTGTTGCCTGTCTCTTTACACGCCACCATAGATTGAATTTCTGTCGGAAAACTATTCATACTGTGTTCATCTTGCTGATAGCTACCTCTGCCGCCTTGATACTGAGCGCCTCTAGACCAGAGAGTATATTACAGAGTCGGCACTCAATGTTATTCTGAAGCTCCTTATTTTCATGGAGGGGAAGAAAGGTCGACCTCACCCTCGACGAAAGGCAACGAATCAGAAAGAAGTATCCATTTATGCCCCTCGCCAGCCAATAAGCGTGCCGAAGGCGATCTACCAATTGAAATTGGGGGCAGACGTTACCCGGGGCATTTGAAATTTCTTTATCTACCAAATTTTCCAATACGGCAGGTAATTAAAGAAGCAATTATTTTATGCGTAAGGATATTATATAATGCGATATAATATTAAATAATTATATATATAATATATATATATATATATATATATTATTTAATTGCTGTAAGATAATGTAGAAGTCGGTAATTCTGAAAGGATTTATAATTGTGAGGTAGTTAAATAAATTGTAATGATGCAAGTGAAAATATATCATAATTTTTATTTGCAAAATACATAAATACACATCATGTACAAAAAAACAAAATGCATGAACACAAATCATGTTATGTAAAATAAATAAATTCTGGCGAATCATCATGTGCCACTCTAATATTACACAATTTCACTGCAGCTAAACAATACAAAAT